AAACTGAAATATTTTTTCATGTGAAAAAATTTCGAATTAAGGGATATTGCGAAAAAAACATATATTCAACAAATTTAAGTTTATTAGAGAACATTTTATTTACATGTACAGCATAGTAGGAAATCCATGTGTGTGTATACAGACATGTATTCAACAAAAATCAAAGAAACAAAAGCATTCGCAAGAGCTGAATGAAATTTAATACAAAATGTTCAAGTTCTTTTTTGAAAAGCAAAACATTTATTGAGTGTTCGGGAAATAAACTAATATTTTTCTTTGTACATTATCCTTTTTACTATCAAATTGCCCAGAGATTTATGTCCGTCGCCAAAAGCTCTCGTGTAGCTGAATAATGTGACAATAATATTCACTCACTCACTGTTCGCAAATTGTTCGATACTTTCCACTTTGTAATTCATTTCACCAATGGAATATGACTCTAAATAATTGATTTAATACTTCTAGATCATAATTTTTCATGATGTTCCTCATTCCGGATGCTTTTTTGTGTCGTTTGAAGAAATGGAGGATGAAAATCGTAGATTAACAAAATTGGCTCGCGTCGCAAAAATTATAAAGCCGAGTTAGTGCCCTAGTATCACTGAAGACCGTGTAGGGAGCGAGACACATTAAATCTGTCGAGAGCTCAAACGTCCTCCCGTTGGTGTGATGTGGTAGTTAGGAGAGAGGGTGCCAGCTAAGGTGTCGTCCATGTCACTTGACCATTTTTCAAAAGTACGCGGTCTGTCGCCATAAGCCCTCGTGTAGCTATGCAGTGCGACGTTAATATTCACTCACTCACGCACGGCTGGTATTTTCCTTATTTTGTTCATTCTCAGAAGGAAAAGCTTTTCATGTTAAGCGATTTTTGTTGTTTTTAAAAAAAATGCATGAAAATATATAGTCGTTTGTCGCGACCATGGTATCTTTTCGTCTTAAACGTTTTCGTGTTAAGCGAGTTTTACTGTAATTGCTTAAGACTTTTAACAAGAATATAAAAGTCTGTACAAATTTTTAATTGGATTTAACATAGATCTGGAACCAGTTACGGTTACAATCGACGAATTAGATCCACACAAATATTGACACGTGTGGTAATGACGGAAAAATATTTACGCGTGGTAGATCAAGAATTCTATTGGAACCACTTAATGAAAATGAGCCGTTTTCTAGTTTCGGCAAATTTATGGCACCAGATTTGTGTATCTATTTGTTTATGGTGTCACGAAATTTACGCAAAAACAACGTTTGGGTTCCGGAACAATTCTTGTTTAAGACTTTTTCTTTCATTTTCTTAGTTACGACTCTCATCTATCGACCCATTTCAATTCTTAAGCGTGAGGGTAAACCTAAGGAAATTCTTCGCCTTCTCAATCCTAGTGATTAGTGAATAGATAGGACTCTGACGATGAGAACCATTTACTAGGTTTTAATTTTTTCGAGAGCACCCAAGCCAAACAGACACTCTATGGATCTTTTACATGTCGTATAATCATATGACATGGCCGCTGTCGATTTTCTGCATCAAGAAAATTCGCCGACTTGGGCCGGGTTCGACTCCCAACCTTGGGCGCAAAAGGCCAGCGACAAACCAACCACGACATTCAGCCAGAAAAATTGAACATTTTTCTCGACATTTTGTAAAGAAATAAAAACTAGTCACGTTTTCTGTTAAATTTTACTTAACCACGAGCGTAATCTTTATACTGTATTTCTACCAATAAAAATTTTATGTGACTTGAATATCTGGTTTTAAAGAGAAAAAAAATGTTAACAAAATGAATAATGAAGCACTCAAATAGTTATCTCGAAAGAAATGGAACCCTTTTGAAAAAAATTATATTTAATTATAAAACTAAGAAAATTCAAGTACATTTTTTCACCTGTCTTCAAATTGGTAGAGCACATGAGATGTCTATGCCTCACGTGGCTCAGAAACCGGATAAGTCGGTTTACCATTTTCTATTCGTTTGTTGTAAATGACCAAGGGATTTATATAGTTAATCCTTCAGAGCTAGATTTGCTGCTGATAACGAAACCGCATCTGCTTAAATGAGAATTCAGTTAGAAAACTATAGTCCAGGATTAATGTGATAAAATCAATTTAGAACACTCACGTAAAGGTTAACACATGCTTCAGAATCTTAAGGGGGATAAGAGGATTGTACTTTTTGTACATTATGAAAAATACTCTCATTCAGAAAGCGTGTCTTTAAAGAGTGTATCTTTTTTGTTGTTGTTGCATTGTTTAAAGTTTTACAGAACAAAATCAAAGTTTATTGCCAAAAGAGAACATTAAAGAAGCAAGAGTACAAGACCATGGTAAGTGAATTTCTTTCTTATTTTATTTATTGAGTAGATTTTATAATCTCATTCTCTCATTCTTCAAAAATGCATTGAATCCATTTAAAAAAAAAGACTCTAGAGGAAAAAGAATTTAGTTCACCACAGAAAAAACTCGAAGAAAAATAGAAGAGAAAAAGGGGACATGAACATTATTGTTTAATCAAATTCTTAATTTATACCACGAAAATTATAATAAACAAAATTATAACTTGAACATAATGCGTGTAAAATTTAAAAAACTTTATTTTAACAATTAGACTTATTTACTTTTTCAAAAAAAATATTTATTGAAAATCAAAGCATTTCAAACTAACCGAAGGAAAAAAATATATAATTCCAAAAATTTAGAAAAAAAAGTTGTTTTTTACTGAAACAAATAGCTTTTCATTTTTGTGAATGGTATTTTAATGAGATTTGCAATTTAAAAGCAGCAGCTCTTACGAGCTTCAGTTGTGCTGTTGATATCCAAGATTGACAAACAAAAGCCGAAAGCTCAAAAATGTGTTAAATTAAATCATTTTTACTTCATTAATGTATTATGTTGTTGTTTCATGTCGCCCATGGTTCAAATACCTAGACCAATTCGGTGATACCATGTCGCTCCAATAGCTACCCAATCCATTCTCCCCCTCACTCCATAGCTGCCTCACAAATTCGCCAATACAGTCAACGACATAGATAGAAGAGCAGGACAAAGACAAGGGCAAAATGAAAAAGTCTTTTCCTGTCAATGAATTAAAAGCTCCTGATGAGACTACTACGCAGCCTGGTCAATGCAGTCTGTGCCTACAGACTGTAGGGACAGACCCATGACGATTTCCAACATACCAATCGTGTTCAACTGGAGCATAATTTCCAGTGTTATTCTCACATTGTTCTTTTTTTAACCCCTTCTCTGTCGGCGACGTATGGTCTGCGACGCAAAGATATATTTAATCCTTGAAACTGAATGGACTAAATTCATGTGACGTCATAATCACATGATAATTTTAAACTACGTGTTTTAAGCCAATCAAGTTCAAAAGCATATGGGACGTCATAGTCACGATAAATGCAATTATCTATTTTCAGCAAATCAGTTCATGCATTTTGTTGTTGCCAAATTACGCTTTTTACCGAAACTTTCCTTTAAAAAAATTAATATTTATCATTTTATTTAAAAGTACATGTATAAAACAAGACTTTTTTTCTTTAATTTTAAAATCTTTTTGCAGAAATTTCTTTTATAACTCTTGAGCATCTTTATCCAACTATGCAATTTGAAATTTTACCTAAGTTTTATTAATAGAATAAAAAGTACGAGCTAGTTTATTGTCCGTTTTGAATTCAATGTAGAACACGTGTTTATATTATCATGTGACCATCATGAATTTAGTCCATTATCGCAGTGAGATTTCCCGCGGGGAATTTAACATTAACATCATTTAACGAATCTCTGATATCTGTTAAAATTTTAAATAAAAATCCATTCGAAACATTTTGGATATTTATTATCAAAATTTTATTTGACAAAGTAATAAAAAATAATATGTTTTACATGATTTTTGTTTTGTGATAAATGAGATTTTTACGTTCTAGTGTCCAAGGAAGATTGTAATGCTGTTTTAATGATTCGGTACTATTTGCCAAAATATTGCTTAAATAAATTATTCCAAATATTTTTAAGCAAATAATTTTATTACTTTATGTAGATATTTATCTTGTACTTTTTAAAATTTATAGCTAAGGAGCATGGCAGGGAAAACTGGAGATCAGTGAACGGGATATCGTATATTTTTCCGGGATATCGTATATATCGTATATAACTGCTTACTGTTAAAAATAATTTGTATTTTTCACTTTACACCGACAAACAATAACAAATTTACCGATGAACAAAACAGATATTGACACAAAAAATATAGACTTTTATACACAAAGAAATATTAAAACACATTATTAAAAATAGTGCAAATCATACTCGTTATAAACAAGCCTTAAAATATTTTCGAAACGGCTCTCCAAACAGTTCCAAAAGTAGGAACTCAGAGAAAGTCTCTCTCTCTTATCGCAATCAACGCACACGCGCGTCTGGACTCTTTTCAAAAACTGACTCCTCCTTTGCCTCAAAGGTCCCTTACATAGCCTCATGGAAATTTTCAGAAGGATCGATGCCAGAAAGTTCTCGATGGTTCCTAGGCGAAGTCATATTTTCACCAAATTCGTCGACAATCTGGTTCTCCCAGTCTAGGGTTGCCATAATCTTATTTTTCCAAGTTCATACTGGGAAGCGAACTTTGCCTGTAAAACTCAATTTTCCGCACATGAAGAGTTGTTGTGGGGAAAACAACTTACTTACGTGTTTCGCTATAATAATTAAAACAAGAAAAATTTTAAAGTCAATTTCTACTTTAATCAACAAAGAAAAATTTCATTTTAGTTACTTTTTATGAAATAATTACAATTAAAATAAATATGTATTTACAGATGATAGAATCACAATATTAAGTGGCAAAATGGAAAATGATTTTCCTTGCAATTTTTCATTTTCCTTTCTATACATGGAAAGGGACTGTTATTTTTGTTTGTTACTATTTATTCATTAATTAAATTTAATTATTTCAATAGTAAAGTCAATAGTATAGTAAAAAAAATCACATTCTCAGAAATTAGGCTATCCCAGGTGGGATTCAAACCCACGACCTTTGGATTTGAAATCCAATGCGCTACTTATTGCGCTACAGGGACACAACGAGTGATTTTCCCTTTTATATGTGGTGTTGGACTATTATATTTTAGTTTGTTTCTTTTTATTCATTAATTAAATTTAATTAATGAATTAATATTTGAAAAAATTGTATTAAAATCAAGTGTTATCTCCACTACAATTTTACAAATGTATTTGAACTTGAGTGGATGAATAAAAAGTATTTTATTAACGATTGAAAGTTTGAACAAGATATATATATATAGCGAGAGAGTGTGAACAAATAGTAGGAATTGAATAAGTAATAAATTAACAAAAATGCCAAGGTATAGGCGTTTGAAAGAGGGTCTAGAATCCACCTGAGATGCTAAAAGCTCTGAAACACCTGCAACTTCACGGATTGTGAAAACTATTAACTTTCTATATCACACAACATTTGCGAAAATAATTACCAAACCCTTCAGATATTTAGTGGAATCTAGAAGCCAGCCTATTACGAGGGAGAGCCGTAACAGTCGCCGAGAGTCTAAGCACATTGTTTTTCGTCTTTTGATCCCTTAAGGTACACAAAACCCTATAAATTTCAAAAGAACCGAAAAAAATATCTTTGCATTTTCTTGTGTCCCATACCAGTGGGAAACATCACAAAATTGCAGATCTGATAACAAATCAGTTTTCAAGATGTTTGAAGTTTTATGAGCTTAGGTTTTGGTTTCGATTTCATTTTAAAGCATTTTTCCACTCTTATTAAATTAAAGTATTTAATTAAAATCGCGTTTTAATGTAGAACATAGATTTGAAAATAACATATTAAAAATCAAAGCTTTACGGTTATTATAAATATTTGTTTTATACCTTTACAAACTTTAAAGGTATTGTTCTCAAACTTTTAGCTTCGAAGATATAAATGTTTTCTAAGCCCTAAGTCTTTTTTTTCCGTTCAAGATAGTGTCTTGAAATTTTTTGTATATATTCCAGAACATATGTTATATAAAAGTTAGTATGGATTTAGGTCTGGATTTCTAGTTAATTTTTTTAAATGTTAAAGTCAATATTTAAAAAAAATTTCGTGTTTTTTCTAGGATCAGTTAGAAAAATAATTACCATAAAATCCGGCGTATAACGCTCAACTATACTTTTAAGCTCTATTTTTTAATTTTGAAGTATATTCGCCGTATAACGCACACCCGTTTTTTTTACAAAGGAACCTGCAATTTACGTTATCAATACTATATTTTAAAACCATTTGTTCAAGATATTATCCAAGGGTTTGAAAAAAAGATAGTACATTTCTAGAAAAACAAACCTTTAAGCTCATAAGGTATGACATTTCTTCTAGATGAACAGTATTCTGATCTTTATAGGTCTAAATTTTTTTATGCACATCTCTCTTTTTATTTTTGAAGCCATCATTTTTATATACGGGGTATAACGCACACCCGTACATTTAAATCTAACTTTTTGTGTTAAAAGTGCACGTTATACGCCGGATTTTACCGTACTAAAAATCAACAAGCGAACAGATTTTCAAATCCATGCTAACTTTTGTTTGCAATAATCTAAAAAACATAAATCCCTTAAAATGACTTAAAATTTTTAAAAATTGAGCATTTTATTAATTTGAAAAGGCTTCAAAAATTCTTAGTTTTTTAAATTTGTAAAATAATGGCTGGTCAAACTGACCTTTTGTTTTCAGAATGAACTGAATAATATTAATATGAAACATAAATTATTTTTACTGTTACTGCCTCCAAAAGAGTTTTCTGATAAAGGGTACTGCGTAGCCTCAAAACAAAAATATAACCAAATGAAAATATGGAGCGAATTTTGATCTATAAAACGGATAAGAATACAACCGTTTTGAATACAATCATAACAGGTTATGAAATTTAGCTCTATAAGTATATTTAGCCAAAAAGTGACAGTCATGATGGGACTATCCATAAGGAATTATTCAGTCAGAATTTATTCCCTTGGTACAGAACAATAAACTACGAACGTTGTCTCAACATTCTACGTCGTTTGATGGAGTTTATTCTTCGTAAAAGGTTTCAGATGTGACGGAGTGGACAATGATACCTTCCACTTGACAATGGGACCGCATATGCTCCAAATGGGGGGGGGGGTAATACTTTCACGACAAAACTAAAATTAAAGGGCTTTATAGCTCTGAGCTTAACCCTGCATGATGTTTTTATTTGTACAGTTTATAAATAAAATATGCAGGGACGTCATTTTATATTGGATAAAGTAAAAGAAACGTCGCAGGAGGGCCCTTAAAAGTTGTCGCAAAAAATGATTTCCAGCAGTGTTTCCAGAGGTTGTATGAACGCCTGTAAAAGTGAATCGTCACCCAAGAAAATGATTATTTTTAAGGTGATTATGCGATGATATTTTAATCTATTTAAAATAAAGAATGTCATGGAAAGTTCCCGAAATTTTGGGTCTTACGCCGTACGTATATAATAGTATATCAAAGATACAATATTTTTTTGAAATTTTATGATAATTGCTTTCATTTTGTTGTTCTAAATGTTCGTGTTTCATGGATAGTGTTTTACTAAAATATACAAAATTTTTAATAGAATAATGACAAATGTAAAATTTTGCTATTCATTTTTGTACAGAATTCATCTGTGCGTGAGTTCAATTATTCCTATTATAATAAACAAAGATATTTTAGGAATTTATGTATTTATGCATGTATTACGATTCTTTGATGTTATATCTCGCATAATTTTGGTATATTTTATTATGCATGCCAATATAAAAATTTGGGAAGTTTTAAAACAGCGTGAAAGAAAAAAATGACTTTTATAAGGATTTTTTAGAACCTTGAAAAAATTCTGCTTTGATTATTTAAAACAATTAATTATATGCCTAACAATAAATTATCAAAATTTCGCGGCTACCTACTAAATTTTGCTTCTCGACTTGTTTTCTACACTATGTATTAAATAGAAAAAAATTCTTCAAATTTATAAAGTAATTTATATTGATGAATTGTTTGTACTTTTCTGTAAATGTTACAATTTCAAGTAATGAAAGAGAGTATTATGAAGTTATTTTTCAGAAAAATTATACATCGTAATTTGGATTTGAATATTTCAAGATTATTTTCACAAAATTTCATTTTATTTGTTGAAAATATTATGATCTAATATTACGAATATTTCAGAATATTCAATGATGTTATCACAAAAGATTCTTAACGAATTTCTAGGTAGCCTCCCCCCCCCTCCCAATGAGTATCATATGATATCACAATCCTTAAAAATATAAAATAGATTGGTTTAATGACTTCGTGTTCGAAAACAAATCAAGTGCTATTGACCGACAGACCTAATATCCCCCTCTTTAAACCTTCACACCTCTCTACGGTTTAGAATATGAATTTCGCTGAATTGGTTAGAAATTTGTGTATTCGGTTTTAAATTTTTCTTCTGGTGCCCCAAGTGATGAAAAAAATGTAGTTCAAGTTAAGAAACCCTTATTTAAATCGTTATAGCTGTCAGCTTACATTTTTAAAAATAATGAAAAACTTGCTCCGTCTTGAAATTTTTGTTTTAAATTATAACAAACCTAAATTTGTTTGATATATTTCATCCTTTTATTTTTTTATTACTAATTTCTTCATTTTTTAAAAATACTTTTAATGTAACATCTGTTTATTAAATGTTTAAACTCCTTTATACTAAAATCAGGTATGCTTGGTTATGCATTTGAGTAACGAAGAAGATTTGGGCCCCCCTGCAAAGTCAGGTTTTGGGCCCCGAAATTGGATTTTACAAAGGTTAGGTACTTGGCGACAGTCAGGCTTTAGACCCTTAGAAACTTGTCCCTCCCCGCAATGCGGAGGTGTACGTTACACCAGTGCCCCCTCTCCCTCGTAATTTTGCAGTAACACTTCGACTTAAGCTACCCCGACCTACGCGAACTTGGAGTTACGCGATTTTCAAATCTCGTCGATTCCTTTTAATTTTTTTCCTACACTGAAATTCAGACAGAATTAGTTCCAGAGCCTGATAAAATTGATAATTTGATTGAAGAAATGGTCTTTCTTGTCGAAGAAATAAATTTAGAAGTGGATAGTGACGACGTTCAAGAACTACTGGATTCCCACAATCGGGAGCTGACGATTTATGAGCTCATTCAAATGCATGAGCAAAAGCAAGGCATTGAAGAACGAGTCTTTAGACCCAGTTCAATCAGAAGATCGAATGACGGTTGGGATTTTGACAGAAGGCTTCAATTTTATTCTAAAAGTGTTGCAGATTTTAGAAAATATAGACTACCAGAAAGAGCTTATTTCTTCAATAAAATCAAAAATGAAAAAATTATTAGCATGATACGAGGAAATTTTAAGGGAGAAAGAAAAAAATCTTTCAGCCAGAAGACTACTTTTTTAAATTTTATGAAACCTTCTACATCAAAATAACTTAATTTGCAATTTTGTATTTGTGTTACTCAAGATTTTATTAATCTTTTTTTTCTGAATTATTACTTTTTTTTTGTCTCCGGCCCCAACTAAAAGTAATTTTTAGTGAAATGATACACCGATTTACTCGAATTCGACTTACGCAGTTTTCACTCAACCCCACCTATCGCGTAAGTTCAGGGAATTACTATACAGTAGAACGTCGTTTATCCGACTCAATTGGGACCGGACACCGTTCTGATAACCGAAAACCATATGTGACCATGCAGTATACGAAACCGGACACTATCCGAATATTGAAAATCATCACATGCGGGAAACGTGCTTGAAGAAAAAGCAAAATAGGTGCAAAATAGTAGAAAATAATCACTTATAGATAGTAGATAATAATCACTTATTTTTAACACGCTTTTATAAGTTTCACTTACATGTAACGGAATCTTAGAACTCGATTTTTACCCACTTAAAAAGATCGGATTCATTCGAAATTTCGCACACTTGTCAAGGACCGATGACAATACAATAATTTCATAATTTTGTTCCATTGTCCTTTTCAGGATCGTCAGGAATAAGATATTCAGATTTGGCGACAATGCCATATAT